CAAGGAATGCCTTGTTGAAAATTTGAAAGAAGATTCTCTTGTGGCAGAGTAGTGCATGATGCGGTCTTGGCAGCAGGTGGCATCGCTCAAGTAGACATTACTGACAGGATGGTGAAGACAGTTCGCAGTGCCTACAGCGTCTACAGGGAGCAGCTGCAAACAAAGAAGAGAGAGCGAGGTGAAACAACTGAATTAGAGAAGAAGAAAGAGATCAGCAGCTCTGATTAAAGAGCTACAAGAAAAAAAGCAAAGGCTGCTTAGTATATGCTTCACGGACCATTTCCACAAAATGGTGTCTGTTGTATAGGTCAGGGAATTTCAGCTAAAATGGTCAGTGAAAACCTGGAAAAGTCAGGGAAATTGAATTCTGCAATTTGCTAGACACCCTGCAGTAATCAATATACATCCTTCTAAGAGGTTGTTGGTTGCATAACGTGTATAATCTTGAACTCAGCTCACAGTTCTGCAGTGTGTGGTAAAAACCTTTTGCTCGCCCAAGACATGCATCGTGTAGAGGGAAGGAGTTGATCCAGCGGATGGATACACAGAGCAGCCTGACGAGAATTTTAGCAGCTATGGTCCAACGTGCACTGCAATGGGGTATAGAGAGTGGTTCCTGTTTTAAATATCATTTGAAGCACTTAATATGTATTGCACTTAATATTTAATATTTAAATTTTAAACTATCTAAACTACTTGCCGTGATCAGTAGGCATATAAGTATGCATAATAGCACTATATCGAAATGCTACCTTAAAAGAGCTCTAGGGGGTATGTTAGTGTAAATGGCATATGTCAGTTTTAGTGTAATACGTATATTGGAAATGGCTGCAAGTATTGATTGATTTGTGGGGTTTAACGTCCAAAAACCACCATATGATTATGAGAGACGCCGTAGTGGAGGGCTCCGGAAATTTCAACCACCTGGGGTTCTTTAATGTGCACCCAAATCTGAGCACACGGGCCTACAACATTTCCGCCTCCATCGGAAATGCAGCCGCCGCAGCCGGGAATCGAAGCCGCGACCTGCGGGTCAGAAGCCGAGTACCTTGGCCACTAGACCACCGCGGCGGGGCATGGCTGCAGGTATTCCCATAAAGTTACGTGCTTATGAAAAATGCCACCAGGTATCAAGTGACACCCTTTCTTTTAGGCCTAGGTTGCCTATCCTTCCTGTGACCCTCTCCCAAATTTTAAAGTAGGTTCACTTATTATTTGTACCTTTAGTCTGCAACTACCAAAAGCAATATAGTGATATTCAGCTGTGTTATTCTAGAGACTCATAGTAACAAGTTACATCTGATCTAATTAAATATTACATTTTTGGTGAACTTATTGTAAAAAAAAATTTACTGCATGCACAAGGCCACAGAGGGTGCATATGGTTGTGTAATTTTTTACACCTTCACTTTTTATGAAATTGTCATTTTGTAGTTGAGATTGTTTCTAACTTGTTGTAACCATCACGCATACAGAGTTTCCTCGAAATCAATTCACCATTTCGAGAAAAATTACAACGAACTTGAAAATTTTATAAAAGAATGCTATTTGAGAAAAACGAAGTTTTACGTGAGCATACTGCTTACGCCAGAGGGCGCGCGGTGCACTTCGATGCGGCATTTGAACCTCTTGAAGCAGCCGCTTGACGTCGGGCTCCTGCAAGTTAGTTCCTCAGAGTACAGTGGTTCTTTTGGTGTCAAAATTGCTAATTCTATTTTTTTTTGGGGGGGGGGGTTACTTTACCATACCCCCTTAAGTGTGTGTTATGAAATCAAAATTAGGTAAATGATTGCTAGCGTATTTACTGTAAGTATATAGGGGCGAGAAGTTTCTGAAAAGACCCACCTGTCAACTTTGGCAGTGCTCGCGCCCAGGAAACAAAGCGTGAAGTACCGAATCAGTGAAGCTGAAGCAAATAGAGGAAGCTATTTTCACTAAGGCGCTCAGTGATTTTCGAGGGAAGATGTCCTCTGTTGAAATAAGGGTGAACAACACTATAGGTCAGGACGAATGGAAGGAACACACACCGTGCTTGAACTGAACTTCCAAGTGTCGTATGCATTCCTTCTTTTCGTCATAACTTCTTGCCCAGTTTAGTCTTCTTTCAATATGATTCAACAAACCAGACAAATCTTAATGATGTCCATGTGTCTTCGTCTCCTGATATAATTATTATGATGACAAGCTCTCCACGTGCTCTGCTAGTAAAAAAAAACGTCCAGGTCATATTAAACACTTCGGAGAAACTTCTAATAAATATAGTTTCTGTCCTTTGCAGCTAAATCGAAAAATCGTCATGTCTCAAGCATGACTAGGTGATAAAGCGGTAAAGCAAGGGGGATGAAAAGGGGCCCCCCTTATTTTTTTGAACCGGGCCCTCCGCACTGTTAATCCGGCCCTCATTATGGGACAAAGCAGACAAAATCTGAAGGGGCCACTGTGATGCCCCAGTGTGGCTGTGTCTTTACAAATAAGCACCGTAAATGCCTGGATCTTGGCAGACAGCAGATGTTCCTGTACAACATAATCATTGCTAACGCTTATCATCGTCAGCTGAGTGCATGCTAGTGAATGTGGCCTAGTGCAGTTCAGTGTACTGCATGGTTTTTATAGGCGACAACCCAGTGCGCCATGCTGCCGTTTGTGCTGACTCTGTGTGAAACCGCTAAGTGTTCCACACTGAAGCACTGCCTTCATGAACGGAAGCAACTCGCCACTGTCTCACCCTTGTGCAGTCAGTAACGAAGGGGCATAATTTACACTTTCCGGCAAACGCATGCATACATTACAGCAATGCACCCCTGGCAGCAACTGCATTGACATAAAAGTGATGTGATGCACTCAACTATGAATTGGGGTCTCAAGGGAGTGAATGCTGCATGCCAGTGGAGATCTTGTATGGTAACACATGACTTCATTGTGAACAGTAATCGGGGAGAGTTAGATGAGTCGGATGTACTACTGCCACAGTCTTTGTATTCCGTGTTATTCCTTCTAAATGCTCCTTGTAATGGGGCTGAGTTTTTTTTTTTTTTGCTTTGCTGTTACTGGCAGCACTGATCACGTGATGCAAGTCTGCAATTTGTGGTTGGCATACTAGTGAAATGGGTTTCGTGGTAGGTATCAAACGTATTGATGAAAGCTTTCGTCTGCACCTAAATGCCCTATAAGTGTACTGGGCGGTATTGAAGCTACATTGGATATCGGTAGGTGATTTGTGTGCTTGAGCGGTATAAAGAAGCATGGTCTCATTGTTTTTTGGATAATTTCGCCCCTAGGAATGCAGAAAGTTAGTCGACTTTTTTTTTCAACTTGCACACACCGCTTGTACTGTCATGCCTAATGGGAGTTGCAACAAGTTTTCCTGCACAGGCATAGCAAAAATTAGGGATGTAAACACTATTTTATTTACTAGCATTCTCTTAATCATTTTAATGCTGGCAGATGTCATCTTTCAAGATCGGGGCACCTTCAATGATAGCTACCGTGTTGCAACTCGTATTAAAAAAAAAAGAGAAAGAAAAAGTTCCGTCGCTAGGCATCAAACCTACAATCTCTTCAGTATGGTTGAGAGCTGGGCTAGTCAGTGCGATGTCATTTTAACATATGGTGTAGTAGCGCAACTTCGATGGTGACACAGAAGATAAGATAGTAGCGAGTGTTGTGTTTTTTTTATCCTCTGTGTCCCCGGCGAAGTTGCGATACTACACCATATGTTAAAATGCTACAATCTCTTGCTCCACAGCGCGTGGTGCAATATCGCTAGGCCACAGAGCAAACATCGTTCAGATTTCTAATGGCGAGCTATTTATGTACACCATATATCATTGGCAGTTCTAAGAGCTCAGCAACTTCAACATAATTTCGTCATCAGTAGATCGTGCGAAGAGTGCATAAGGCGCGCTTTAAGGTTGTCGTCATGTGTGTTGCGATGCATGCCACAAGGCGTGGTTGCTAATGTGCGCACGCTTATCTCGTGATTGGGGCGCTTTGTACCTCCTGTGATTCCACAGCAAGCCTGCTTTGAAGTTACAGTGGTTAAAGAGAGCTCGAAGGACACCTTGCTCGCGGCCGCGGCTGTGTTTACGCAAGAAAATGTGTTGCTCACGCACAAAGAATTAAGAATTTTGACAGGTCTTTACTCTCATACTGTGCATACTTGTGCGTTCGTTTCGTGTCTCTTTTTCCGTTTGAGCAGCACGCCTTAACTGTCGAGCTGTGACAGTTAGTCCGCACTCGTCCTGTGTATTCTCATTTCGTGTGTGCTTTGTGCTTGAGGTGTGTGCTGCAAGTGTCGAGCTGCTTGCCATTCTTTGCATGACATTACTATTTATTTCTGTAGCATGCATTCCTTTGCCCTTGTGATGAAACAATGCTCAAAATACTGCCTCTGTGAAACAGCTTTACTTTTGTGTTATACCGATCCTAGACAGAGGGATTAGCCACGTTCCTTTTTTTTTTTCGTGCTGCAGTAATTGTCGAGCTTATTACAAACACTGGACTCGGAACAGTTCGTTGACTGTCTGTAGGGGTTCTGATTTGGTAGCTTGCCTCGGTTCACCTTACACAAAAGTACAGTTAAACCGTTCACCTTCTGAATTACCAAATACAATGAAAGTACTGATTTTTTTAATGGTACAAAATGATTGAAATGTTTTTTTTATGATTTTTTCTTGTTAAGAAAGGTTTTAAAAGTTAGTTCTAGGGAAAAATTTGACTCGACTGCACAGCTCTCAGTTGGATTTTTTTGCATCACTATAGAGGAAATGTGCAGTATGCACTGCGCATATAAATTAAAAGGCAGTGTGTGGATTCACTGAAACATTTTTGCATGGCAAAAATTTTCACATTCTGCTGTACATAGTATTAGGGTAGTGCCAGTGTGTAGATGATTTATTGCACACGTCAGCAGGTGATGAATTCAAAGAATTGTTGCTATGTTACGTCATTTAACTGAATCGTGTGAGGTGGTGATTGCTTTCAATCTTACTCTTTGGCAGGAGGTAAAGTCCCGACGTTGAAGAATGGACAGCAGCAACGGCAGAAGACAGTGGATCTTTGCGGAGCGTGCAATGTCGGAGACGTGCTTTCCAAATGAACTGGCCTTTACACATTTGCCATGCACCGTTGCAGTCACCTACCATGTCTAAAAAGCAGCACTGTTGTCACTTCCCTCCCCTAATTTTTTTTCATAGACAGCACTGCAGTGCTTTACCCCCCCTTTTTTTGTATTTTTGCGTAGTTCATCTCAGCGGCACCAGGGTGCTAGTGCCGCTGTGCAGTTTCAGGTGTAAATACATCCTCTAGCCTCTTTAACTCTTAACTCTGTCATTGAAACAGAGTGTACTGATGCGGTTCACTGTTGAGGCATCTATGGCTGCTTGATTGATAGTTGTTAATGTGGCAGTTAGCGGGTGGTTGAATAAAAGAAAGCTATTTGACGAAAAATGCAAGTGTTTTCACTCCACAATGTCACAGTGTCACTAGCACTTGCAGGCTTTCATGAAACAAATTTGAAAAAAAGAATGTCATATAAAACTAGACAATTCGTTGGGCAGTAGTAATCTGTGATGGCACACTGGAGCACATGGTTCAGTAATGGTGATATGCACCGATGTTTACTTGTCTTGCACTAGAACAAGCAGAAGGCTATAATGTGTAGCTTTTCTAGTGCAGATAATTTCCAAACGGAAAGTTTTTTGTCAAATGTCAACAATATTTTGTTGGATCTCACATGCTTTGTGTGCCAGTTCACACTGAAGTTTTTTCAATGTTTCTTGAAAATGCACTGCCTTATAGCAACATACGTGGTCATATTCCAACCTGCGTGCTCAATTTCTTTTTTTGCAGTGCATTGATGCTGCGTTCCAGTTTATTTTTTGGGCAGCATACTGTATTTACCGCTGACGCTTCTCTGGGCACCACTTCATTAAACCATGGTTAGCTGTACAGTATGCATTGAAGATGCTACGCTTCACATTTTGCATAATCATATGTTTTTTGTGAAGTTTGTGTTTGTTGAAGCTTTTAGTGAAAAGGCCCCAGGCATCATTGGTGGATTGCACTGTTTAAAGTCAGCCCATTTTGCAACACGGCAACTAGCACTTTCATAAGAAGAAGGATGGAAAAGGTAAATTTAGAAAAGGCTGAAATTGCTGTGTGTAAACTGTGCAGGCTTGTTTTTACGTGGTGTTTGTTGGTGCCTTAATTTGGCACTAGCTTTTTGAAGGCGCAGGCCCGCACTTGATGTCTACCCTCGTTTATTACATAACTTCGGATGGATGTTATAGCTATGGAAGCATGGAACTTATGAAGGCCCACACTAGCATTGGTCATCATGATGTTGGTACAAGTTTTCGGTGCAGCTCTGTTACCTTTGGATTCTGTGGTAAATGAAACAAGCGTTGATGGCATCCATTATGGCCGCAAGTTTCATATTTCATGGTTGAAGTGGTGGTTTCACCCAAGCACATGTCTGTCCCTGAAAAAATGTAGCTGGACAGAGTGGATAGAAAGAAAGCAAGAAAAGGGTCACTAGAGCGCATCATTTATAACTGATTAATTATGAAAAACTTGCTTTTAGGCAAAGTATTAAAAGTGCCTTCTTTCCTCGTTCATTTTTGGTCGGTTCCTTGAAAGGTTAGTTTAGGCTGTGTATGCTGCGTGTTAATTTTGGACAAATTTTGTTTGATTCCTGTGCAATCTCGAGTTGGTGGCATGATGAGACACTTGCATATGAAAAACGAAGATGTCTGGATATGACATGTTTTTAAACTAGTTCGTTTGCATTTGCTATTGTTGGACAAATAAAACAAGGCACCGTGGGCACTGTTGTGCTCTAATAGTAGCAAGCCATGTTCAGTAGTGTGCTTTCTTTTCTGTTTTTTTTATACTTTTACTAGTAGTCGGGTTGTTTGCCCAGAGGACTAATACCAGCGAGAGTCTCGGGGAGATGATGATGAGATGAGCCCGTAGCTGTTACCAATAACATTTATTTATAATATTTACTCGTAGCGTGTTGCTACATGATGGTGTTAGCATCATGGAAGCTCTCAATGGAATCGTGATGGGAGCTTCTGACTGCTAGTCTTGAGCGCCTCGGCGCTAGCATTGGCCTTCCCAGGATTCTCTGCAGAAAAAAACAATGGAGGCCAGGACAGTTCAATGGGTTTTGCCATCGTCACCTCCGCCTCCAAAAACGGAAGGTCAAACCCCGCCTCCTTCCAAACGCAAGAAAAGGGAGAAGGCACTCTGAGTTCATCCCATGGCAAGGGAGAAAACACAGCACACTGCATTCGACACAGCACAACACGGAGACGTGTAGTCCTACGTGGAAATGAACTCTGTATACCATTGCGGGGATGGGTATGTGGTGCCAGGCAGACCACGAATTGTGGAAATGGCGGCATCAAGGTGCCACAGGGAACGTGAAAAACACTTTCGCAAACAGTTCTCAGCCGTTCTGCTCAATCGCCTTGACGACAAAGCAGGCCACCTGGACGGCTAACAGCTCTTGCTAATCCGTCAGGTGTGTCCAAAGGGCTTTACGAGGGGCGGCGACGGTCGTGAAGAACTTGAACGACTTTGATGTTGTCGCTACCCTTGGTGCATCTCTGATAGCGCTGACTCGGAATAAATAATGGTAGGCTCAGGCGCGACGTCTCGTGCATCTAAGAGGCGCCACGCCATGGAGGCGATCATAACAAGGCCAACTCTGGCGATTCTTCGAGGTCACTAGATCTCAACGAAGTTCACTTGTATGTTCATTCGCACGTTTGCATCATTCATACCAAATTACAGGCTTGAGAGTTTCACACATTCTTTTCAAATGAATTTTAGAGCTCGCCCCCTCTAAACGCTCACCTCTCTTGCCAGAAATAATGGCAACTTTGTGTGTGTCGCCTTGAGTTTTGCCTGGCGGAAGTGATAGAATGATGTGATGCGCCAATGCAGCGTCTATTTTTGTGGGTTTGACCGGCGGACGCTTCCTTGGTAGAACGTGTGATTTTCTCTTTTGTGTTGGTGGGCATGTGATAGGTGGCAAGTGGGGTTGCATTTCTGGCCGCATACGATTCGTCATGTATTCACAAAACAGCGTAATCGTATTTTATCTGATCGCCGCACGCACAAACTTGGACGGCGTGGACAGGTAGTGCCATCAAGCGGGTATTATGCGCAATCAGGCAGGTTTGGGCAAATGATTACGTCACACGTAGAGGCGTACTAGTTGAGTTTCTGAATTGCGTTTCTTTCGCTAATTAAAGATTACTTACACGCTTGACGAGCACTTCAACTATCGAGTGCGTGACAGGAATGTCCCAGGAACATGAAAGCACCGTTATCCTGATGTAGTAAAAAAAAAAAAAGTCGCCGGAGTTGGCCTTTAAAGAGGCCCTGCTACACTTTTTGAGCATGGCCAGAAAACGCTGCCGATTGGTAGTAGAGGTTCCCAACAACAAGCGAGCCAAATATTATAGTGCAGAACGCGGCCTGGAATTCACAATAAATTAGCTAAATTGGCAAGAAATTGCTTTCTCTTCTTTCGACAAATGACGGAAAGCGCTAAAAAATCACTCATAAAAGGCTCATCACTCTTATCAGTCATTGGCTGATTTGAACACGGCACGCTCTGCCGTTAAAGATATCGCTGTGGGAGGCCGTGACTTTTCCACGTGTGCGCGCGCGATCACACAGAAAAGGCCGCGCATTCTAAGAAAAACATGCTCAAGGCCACGAGGCACACCTAACTTATTTTCTTTGCCTCTGCCATCCCTCTCTGCTTAACTTCCGGCGCTTTCGTCGGGACGAGAGAAGAGAGAATGCAATTGCAGCATGCGACAAAACTGTAACTCCACTCGAACTGGACAGATTCTTAGAATTTTTGAGATGTTGAATTCGTAAGACAATGGGCTCTTCCAGTGAATACATTCCATGGTTACTTGAAAAACTAATTCAGGGCCCCTTTAAGAGGACGGAGTCAGCAAGAATGTTTTTTGAAATCATTTTCCTTGCGTTATTTGAAATCTGCAGCCTCTACTCAACCAAAATCAATCGTTTGTTTGCCAGAGTATGATTTTTACAGGCGGAGCATGTTATACTAGGGGCTAGTCATGCGCCGTTGCTGTCCGCTGCCTCCCCTCCTCCGCCAGCCATCTGTGCATCCCTTCCTCCTCAACACAGCGCGCTGCGCTCGTTTCTCTCCTCCGCGCACAGTTTTACGTGCGCTAGCTGTATGCTAACGCGCGCATGCGCAGGCCGGGGCCAGCGCGAGCGCGCTGCGATAGCGGCGTGGCGAGCCAAGCAGTAAGCCACGCCCTACGCTCGCTTGAAGCGCGACTTCCTCGACCGGAGCTTCGGCCACAGTTGAAAGGTGTGTGTGATCGACTTGGGTTCGACAACAACTTGACGCGGATCGGTAACATTCAGAATGAACTGCATCGTTCCAAAGCGTTGTCGGTTCTTTGCGATGCGTTTGGAAGCGACGCCGACGAATTTGCCGACTACGTCGCGTGTGCCACGTGCAAGCAGTCGTTAATTGCCGGTAGAATTCCATCGCTCAGCGTGAGTTACGGCTACCGCTACCCGCCCCGACCGAAACATCTACCCGAGTTCAACGCTGTCGAAGAACGGCTCATCGCTCTTCGACTCCCGTTTATGAGTATGCGACGCTTGACTCACGGAAACGGACAGTACGGAATTAAGGGCCAGGTAGTGAACGTCCCCATCGAAGTTCCAGCCTTCGTTAGGTGTCTGCCTCGCAACGTTCCAGACGACGCTGCCTTCGACGTCCACGTCAAGCGGAAACTGGTGAGCAAGGCCACGTACAAGCGAGGGTTGGTCAAGCGCAGCAACATCTACGCTTGGCTCGAACACTTGGAAAACACCCCGCTGTACAGACACCTCAACGTTCGCATAGACTGGTGCCGACTGGAACGTTTCGACGACGACGACGCCGCCGCAACTTACGACTCATCAATAAACATCGTCTTTCGCAGCGTGCGTGCGTGCGTGTTCACTCATAACACACACGCATGTCGCAAATTACAAACCACAGTTTTCGCAGTTCAACATATATGATCCGCATGCTAACCATGCAGTTTTCCCCTTCGGGAAACTACGGTCATTTTTTTTTCTCAAAAAAATGACATATTTCGAAACTTGTGCAGCGGCCTTCCATGCCTCCATTCTTACGTAACTAGAGATTCTTTGCTGTTCTTACATCTATATAGATTGATTGATATCTGGGGTTTAACGTCCCAAAACCACCATATGATTATGAGAGACGTCGGAGTGGATGGCTCCGGAAATTTAGACCACCTGTGGTTCTTTAACGAGCCCCCAAATCTGAGCACACGGGCCTACAACATTTCCGCCTCCATCGGAAATGCAGCCGCCGCAGCCGGGATTCGATCCCGTCACCTGCGTGTCAGCAGTCGAGTACCTTAGCCACAAGGCCACGACGGCGGGGTGATGTAGCCATATGGAGAGGTTACAGTTTGCAAGCTGGAGTGCATTTGGCACACGCAGAAAGGAATGGGCCCAGAACTGCGAAAATAGAAGAAAAAGGAGTCATCAATATTTCTATCGGGAGATCTATATATATATATTTTAAACTTTCAATGCCTATGTTCTTTTTTCTCAGTAACCACAGTATCTAGAATCATAGATTTTGGCCAGTATTTAGATAACGTAATAGAGAATATTCTGAAGGTGAATTATTGTGTGAGGAAGTGATCTGCAACACAACATTTAATAGCCATTATCGAGTCATAATTAGGTACCAGAAGTAAAGAGAACTTGAAAAATTAGCATTAAATGATTCGGTGTAAACATGTGGGAGGTCTACCTCCCACATGTTTTCCCCCTATTGGAAAAATTGCCATGGTGGATACTGGAAAACATGGTGGGCGTAGTGGAAATAATAGTGGGCATGGTGGAAATAATAGTGGGCATGGTGGAAATTATGATGGCTATGGTGGGACGTAGTGGAAAATATGGTGGTTATGCCGGGACATACTGGGTGGTATGGTGTACAGATGATGGGTAAAGTGGAAATGATGGTGGAAAGCAGAGGCTAGATAGTGGGCAATAATGGGACACTCTGCCCACCATTGCGATAATGCTGGGAAGCCCTAAGCATATGGTGGGTGGTGCTTATTATGGTGGGCTACATGGTGTACCAAGCTGAGAAACTCTTCCCACCATTGCGATAATGCTGGGAAGCACTAAGCAGATGATGGGTGCTGCTTGTTATGGTGGGCCACATGGTGTACCAAGCTGAGAAGCTCTGCCCACCATCGCGATAATGCTGGGAAGCAGTAAGTAGATGATGGGTGGGCTTATAATGGCGGGCAAATTATATAGTGTACCAAGCTGGGATCTGTACTCTACATGTTCTACCATCATGATTTCCACCAAAGGTTAGGCCTACTGACCGAGCCCGTACAATTGTGTTATCCGTGCTTCCGGGTTTCAGAATACACGATTACGACGATTAAGTATGACAATACAGCGCAGCCATATGGCATCAATTAACCTAAATGAAGCATTTTTCATTGTGTATGCTGTTCGCTCAAGAAGCAACAAACATCGATGCGACGCGATTAAAGCACTCCCAGAGAACGTAATTTAGTGTCTTCTCACCGACAGCCGCCGGTCGCACTCGCCGGCACTTCTCTAGCTTTTGTACGACAACTCAGACGTGGCAATTCGTGTGCTTGGTGAACCATTAGGATAGCGTAATGTTTCCGGTACACTGCATTCGTTTTGGCCAAGCCGTTATGTAGTTGTTGCTTTAGCGAAAGAGCAACAGCATTGCGCTGGCGCGACCGCCCTCTACATTGCGCGAAAA